CCATCTAGCTGTTGTCTGCACTATCTGAAAAGTCGTATAATGATCCCCAAAAGATAAAAATTTTTAATCACTTCTCTGTGAATCTCTGAACAAACCTGTGACATAACATCTATGATCAATAGATGTGTAATGAAACTGGAAAATGAGAATATTGTATGATGTCACACGGCAAGGTGGCAAGCCTAAGATTTAACACAGGTATATTTGATGGCACACAGCCAATTTAGATTTCATCTCTAGCACCTCATCAAGTCCCCCTGAGTCTTCCAGGAGTAATTCCAGAATGCACAGCCAGGAGTAATCCCTGAGTACTGCTGAGTGTGGCCCCCAAACAAATAAACAAAAAAGAAAAAACCTTGCTTCTGGAAATATAATTCCATACTGTTTTCTTTTTTTTTAATTTCTGGGTCACACCCCGTGATGCTCAGGGATTACTCCTGGCTTTGCACTCAGGAATTACTCCCGGCAGTGCTTGGGGGACCATATGGGGTGCCGGGGATCAAACCCAGGTCAGCTGCATGCAAGGCAAGCATCCTACCCTCTGTACTATTGCTCCGGCCCCTCGATACTGTTTTCTGACCTTACTAAACTCTAGTCTCTCAATTCTTAGGATTCCAGTAACATTCCATCACAACTGTACACTCTACACTCCAATAAGGACTTTATCAATCTATTGCTTGTAACAAATTCACACGAATCCTAAGTGAGGATTTGAAATGACCCCCACTTATTAGCTCACAGTTCTGGTGGCCAGAATTCTCATCCAATACCCAGAGTAAATTCTCTACTCAAAAAACTACAATACTCAAGTCATGGAATCAGCTAGGTGAAATTCTCTGATAGGAAATTTGGGCAAACACTATATTCCAAGCTCATTTCCTTTAGTTAACCTTTTTTCCTTTGCACCTTCAGGTCTGAGATATTGATGTCCTTGTCTATGATCACCCAGAAGCAGTTCTCAAATCCTAGCTGTCTCTGTAATCCTTGCCATCTTTAGGCCAGCAACAGTACATCAAATCCTTCTGATCCTTCAAGTCTCTGATTCTGATTTCTCCATCCTTCACTTCCAGAGCCAGATTTAAAAGAACTCATGTGATTTTGTTGGTCCCACCAGATAATCTCTTTGTTAGGGACATTTTCTACTTTGCCTCTGAAAAGTCCCCTTTGTGGTTTATTGTGTAACAAAAACATGGGCATGACATCCCATCATACACACAGTTGCGCCCCACCCACACGCATAGGGAAGTAATTGTTATAAGGTCATAGGGATCATTTTAGAATTCTGCCTGCCTAAGGGACTCTTAGAAGCTGTGGAGAAACGTAGCCATGATATATGAAGAGAAATATGTTTCTTTAAAATGGGGAAAGAACTCCAGGCTGTAAAGTCATGCACAGCTCTTGAAATAAAACACCAAAGACAGTGAGTCTGTATGACATAACGAGGAGAGTGAGTTTCTCACTAACAGAAATGTATAATCTTCTATTTCAAACAGAAAGCCCTCATTTTTTAAAATTTTTGCTTCTTGGGTCACAACCGGCAATACACAGGGTTACTCCTGGCTCTGTACTCAGGAATTACTCCTGGCAGTGCTCAGGGGACCGTATGGGATGCTGGGAATTGAACCCAGGTTGGACGCATGCAAGGCAAATGTCCTACCCACTGTACTATCACTCCAGCCCCAAAAGCCCTCATTTTGAGACTCTAAGTCACTGCTTAGGTTGTCTGGCAGACACTTGATTGTAAATGATACTGTTGGCATTCCAGGCTTGTTACCACAACTCTGACAGATTCAATACATGGAGCAGCAGCTGCCTTCAGCAAGCCTCCGTCAAGCCCCAGCAATCCCCAGACATGCTGAGCACAAAGACCTGAGAGTTTTCTTTCTATCTTCTGGGTCAATTTGAAATTGTTAAGGAGTTGATGCCCTAAGAACAATCATCAGCCAGCAATGGATGGGAATTCGTGACTGAATATCGTGACTGATTAATTTCCTAATCCCGAAGTTAAGACCTATTTCTTTCTTCATTTTGTTTTGTTTTTGTTTGGGAGGGGGCACACTTAGCAGTGCTCGGAAGTTATTCCTCGCTCTGCACTCAGGAATCACTCCTGACGTTGCTTGGGGACTATATGGGAAGCAGGGGATCAAAACCAGGTAGGCCATATGTAAGACAAGTGCCTTGCCTGCTGTACTATCTCTCCGGTCCCCAAGAGATTTTTCTTGTGACAATTTACCCTTCTTAAAGTTTCACGAATCTCTATGATGGTACATCATGTCTGATGTCATCTGATGTCAGCACCACCAATATTCTGATACGTTATATCTTTTGTGGTTAACCTGAATTAAAATAATATTTTAGTCAATATTTTTATGTAATTTCCCTACTGATATATGTTAGAAGATATGTTTGAATCTGAATTCAGGTCTATGTCCAAAGTAGAAAAACCAACAAAAAATATGGTTCACTGGGAACAAATATTCACCTGCCCACCACTCACCTGACAAAGGTGTCCAAGATATATAAGGTACTAGTAGAACTTACAAGAAAAAACTCCCAACACCATCAAAAAAATGGGGAGAAGAGAAAGTAGCCAGATTGAATATTTGAGCAGTTTTCAGAAGGGTGAAACTCTGATTCAATCTTTAGTCCATTTTCTAAAAACTGAAGTCATCATGAATTACAAAGTTATTCATGATCGAGCTTCAGGTATACAGAGTTCCAACACCAATCTCTTTGCCAGTGTCCATTTCCTTCCACCAACATCCCCAGATTTCCTTCAACCCCGCTGCCTGCCTCTGTGTCAGACATCTCGTTTTTTTTTCTCTTTCCTTTTAGGCGCTGTGGTTTATAATACTGTTACTGATAGGGTATCATATATATCACTTTAATTCTGTCTTTCCCGCCCTATCCCCATTTCTACACCTCCAGTGTCAAGCTTCCTACTGAAGGCCAGTTCTCATATTCTTTGGGTGTTTGTTATTCTCCTACTATGTTTCTTTATGTACTGCAAATGGGAGTGATCGTTCTGTGTCTGTCTCTCTCCCTCTGACACTTCACTCATCATGACACTCCCCAGATCCATCCACGTAGCAGCAAATTACACAACTGCATCTTTTCTTATATCCAAGTAATATTTCACTGTATATATGTAATATAACTTCTTTATCCAGTCATCTGATCTTGGACACTTGGGTTGTTTCCAGATTTGGGCTATTGTAAATAATGCTGCAATGAACATAAGAGTGCAAACATCTTTTCTGGTTCATGTTTTTGGGTCCTTCAGATAAATTCCAAAGAGTGGGATTTTGGGGTCATACAGAAGATCCTTGCAAGCTCCCTGTGGCATATTCGATACGCCAAAAACAGTAACAAGTCTCACAATGGAGACATTACTGGTGCCTGCTCAAGCAAATCAGTGAACGATGGGAGGACAGTACTACAGTGCTTCAGTGCTACAGGAGATCAATTCCTAGTTATTTGAGGAGTTTCCATATTGTTTTCCAAAAAGGTTGGACCAGTCAATATTCCCATCAGCAGTAAATGAGGATCCCTTTATCCCTGCATCCATGCCGTTACTGTATTTTTCCCATGTGTGCCAATCTCTCTAGTATGAGGTAATATCTCATTGTTGTTTGATTTGCATCTCCCTTATGATCAGTGATTCAGAGCATATTTCTCATGTACCTTTTGGCCGTTTGTATATCTTCTTTGAGGAAGTATCTCTTCATCTCTTCTCCCCATTTTTGATGGGGTTGGAAGTTTTTACTAGTAAGTTCTACTAGTACCTTATATATCTTGGACATTAACCCTTTGCAGGTGAATAATGGGCAAATATTTGTTCCCAGTGAATCATATTTTTTGTTGGTTTTCCTACTTTGAACATAGACCCGAATTCAGATTCAAACATATCTTCTAACATATATCAGTAGGGAAATTACATTAAAATATTGACCAAAATATTATTTTAATTCAAGTTAACCACAAATGATATAACATATCAGAATATTGGTAGCGCTGACATCAGATGACATCAGACAAATCCCAGCTCTGTCCCTTATTAGCTATGTTTTCAAAGCCAAGGTAATGCCTCTTGCCTTTTTTCTCATCTGATATGTAGTGAGCATATTGGTATCTCCCCGATAGGATTAATGTAAGAATAAAATGAGTTCATGCATATAAAACACTTAAAGCATATGCTTATGCTGTCTGTGATTTTTAGCTAGTATTATTTTCTATTATTATTTAGTTATTTCACCTTGAGATGTTGTTTCCTAAATGTATACAGGTGAACCATTTTTTTCCTCCTCTGATAGTGTATATCACCTTAAAGAGTATTGTTCTAAAACTATTTACTTGTCTACATATTCCCATTAAACTAGGTCTTTGAGTCAGGGTTAATCTTCATTAATTTATATATCCCTTTTTTTTTTTGCTTTTTAGATCACACCCGGCGATGCACAGGGGTTATTCCTGGCTCTGTACTCAGGAATTGCTCCTGGTGGAGCTCAGGGGACCATATGGGATGCTGGGAATCAAACCCATCAAACCCGGTTGGCCTCATGCAAGGAAAACACCCTACCCCCTGTGCTATCGCTTCAGCCCCTCTATATCCCATCTTTATTGAATAAACAAACCAGGTCAAGAAAGTACATAGCTAGATATTTTTCTGTATGAATTTATATTTTATGCAACTAAGCAGTGGATTCTAGGAGAGACTTTATGCCTATGGTATGAAAACAAAACACTTGGAAGTTAGGCCAGCTGTACCACTTACCATTTCTTTGGGAAGCAAATTACAATTATCTTGGAACAATAGTTGTAACTGAGTCTCAGTGTTCACATCTATTAAATATGTAGAATAATAGTTATAGGGTGGTTATGAGAATTATGGGAGATGGTGTGTATCTAATGCCTGACAGAGTAAAACTTATTAATAATCTGTTAAAAACTTGTTAATAACTTGTTAACTTGCTCTTTTATTCTTTCCACTTATTCTAAAGTGTTGTTCAACAAGAATTCGAAGACAACTGGACAGGAACCTCACCTTTCACAAAATGGTAGCATGGATGATTGCACTTCATACTGGTAAGCTTATGAACATGTTTGAGCTTGCAAAGAAAATTTAGAACCAGAGAGTCACCTCTATGTTTAAATATGTTCTTGGGTAAGAGACCAGCCTTTGATAGGGAGAGTAGGTGATCATTGGATATGTTGTGTTTTATAATGAGTTTGTTCCAAAAATCTTCACCATTCTTTCTGCCATCCTAATATTAGGATTTATTCTTTCAATCAGAACATTTTCGCTTTAGACTCTTCTGATAAAATTCCAATGTTTTCATCATCTCCACCCTTTTTAATGTAAAAATTTGTTAGTTCACTTGTATTTATTCATTTCAATATTCTACTGAACATTTAGATAGGGCTTTTGCCATATTTAGATGGTAGTATTGGTGTATCCATTGATTTATCTAGTACTCTTATGAAATCTCCACTAATTGACTTTAAAAATTTTATGTGTCAGGCAATAGGAATGCACACAGGCATAGCAAAAACAAGAGAACTTTACTCTGAGTTTAAGGGGCTGCTCCACAACCTGAACAAAATCACTTTGATTGCTGTTGTTCCACTGGGTTCATTTCCTGCTCATAGATCAGGCAGGCTTTCTGAGCAAATGAAATGGTTCAAAATTGATATGCATGGTAATATCTCATTAGAAAGCAACACTTAATGTACTCTTAATGGTTAAAAGTACAAGTCTTTGTGCCTTTGGATTTGATTCTAATTTTGCTACCCTTTAGTTTGGTGACCTTACAAAAGGTGTTAAAATAATCCATTCGGGGCTGAAGCGATAGCACAGTGGGTAGGGCATTCGCCTTGCATGTGGTCGATCGGGGTTCGATTCCCAGCATCCAATATGGTCCACCGAGCACCGCCAGGAGTAATTTCTGAGTAACCCCTGTGCATCGCTGGGTGAGACTCAAAAAGCTATATATATATATATATATATATATTTCATTCCCCAGTTTTCTCACTTATAGATGAGAGGATAATAGTACCTGCATCATTGGATCAATATGAGGACCAAGAAATTATAAAATATTTATGAACGTGCTTGGCAACTGATAGAACTTATGCATAAGCAAAAAAAAAACACAGACCCTCATATTCATACTCATAATCATTAGACTGCTGCAGTTCAAGAAAATTTTGTGATTACTCTCTGGAGTAATATTAGGGTCAGTTGAATGGGTCAGCCAAAGGTAGACATTTCAGAAGATTCTTCTTATTTGAGCATAAATATAGTAGTGAGAGAGAAAGAGAGTAAAAGGCCATTTCTAATATCTTGAGGCCAAAGTTATTTCTTAGAACCTTAGAAACTGATTGAGTATTTAGAATTACATAATTCCCTACCTTTATTTTACAAGGAGAAGACCAAAAAAGATGGATGATCCTCCCTCCCTGTCCTATCCCCCAGCCTCTTCAAGTGGCATGCTTCCTACTGAATACCAGTTCTCATGTTCTTTGCTTCCATTGTCTTTGGCTATTCATTATTCCACCATTGTTTCTTTAAATCCTGCATATGAGAAAGATCATTCCGTGTTGGTCTCCCTTCCTCTAACTAACTTCACTGAACATGATACTCTCCAGGTCCCTCAAAGTAGCAGCAAATTTCATGACATTATCTTTTCTTATGGCCGAGTAACATTCCATTGTGTATATTTACCATAGTTTCTTATCCTTTCGTCCATTCTTAGACACTTGTGTTGCTTCCAGATTTTGGCTATTGTGGATAGTGCTGCAAAAACATATGGTCTATGGTGAGGATAGCATTCAACTGGAAGAAAGAGGTGGTGTTGAAAAATGGTGAAGTGTTATGTATGAAATTCTATCAGCAATAGCACTGTAAATCACAGAGCAAAATACACACACATATATATACATGTGTGTTTATACATGTATAAAGTACCTGTATACTTGTTTACACATATATTTTATCTACATATATAATATACATAATAGATCGTATATATAACATACATGATCTGTTATATAATATAAGCACCTCTTGTAGAAGCAGACTGGTGAGTGGGGGAGTCAGATGGAGTTGGGGGGCATTGGTGAAAGGAAGTGGACACTAGTGAAGGGATAGGTATTGAAATGTTGTATGGCTGAAACCCAATCATGAATAGCTTTGTTATTTCACAGTGACTAAGTTTTAAAAAAATTTTGACGAGGTTGAATGATTTCCTCATGATCACACAACTACAGAGTAACTTACCCTAAGAATGAATTGCCTTGCCTCTCTGATAATGGAAACTCAGGTTTCACTATATGCTGTGATCCATCCCTATGATTTCCTGTAGCTCTATCATACAGTCAGGGACTGTAGCCTACAACCTAACTTACAGCAAAATCACATACACACTTTTTGTTTCTCTACTCTCTTTAGCAATTCACACCATTGCACATCTGTTTAATGTGGAGTGGTGTGTGAATGCTCGAGTCAACAATTCTGATCCATATTCGATAGCACTCTCTGACCTTGGAGACCATAATGAAACTTACCTCAATTTTGCTCGAGCAAGAATCAAGGTAAGCCTTTTTCGCTCTTGATCCTTAAAACCAAAGACTAGTGAGAGAAAACACTAATTGGCTAGTGAGAGAAAGATACTAATTGACTAGAACATTGACAAAAGTTGACTAATCATCAGAGGTACAATTCTGTATGTTCTAAGAATGTAGGTACAGGGAAAATGCCTCTTACACTCCTCAATTCATGTGTGGAATGTCATTAGGTGTTTTTCCAATTTCTTAAGCTCTCCTGAGACTAAGTGTTTTCAGGAAACCTGGGGCTACTTAGATTGACCCATGCATGGCAATGCTCACCAGTCAGCGAAAACCAGGAACACATGCCTAGACTACAAGGTTAAGATTATTCCTTACTGCAGAAAAAGAAACGTCAGACCAGAAGGAAGTCTGAGGCATCTTGGGAAAGTGTAAAGAGAGTTTTGTTGCAGAACGTGGGCTCATGTTAGATTATTTTGAAGCAATGATTTGCTCTGAATCTGATTTCGCCAATAATGGAGAGTGATTCTAAGATTGGGTATCTTAGATACTATTTTCTAAGAGGCAGGAAGAATAGAACATGGCAAAATCAGGAATACTGGGAAGAAATATACCTCATCATTTTACCTTATGTGACATAATTTCAGATTGGGCTTGTTTGCGATAGCACAACGGTAGGGCGTTTGCCTTGCACGCAGCCAACATGGCCGACCAGAGTTCGATTCCTCCGCCCCTCTCGTAGAGTCCGGCAAGCTACCGAGAGTATCTCGCCCGCACCGCAGAGCCTGGCAAGCTCCCCGTGATGTATTCGATATGCCAGACACAGTAACAACAAAGTCTCCAATGGAGACATTACTGGGCCCGCTCGAGCAAATCGATGATCAACGGGAGGGCCTTTACTTACCTTCCCCATTACAGTACATCCATGATAAATATCACACTTCATGTGATGCTGGTGTTTCAAAAACCTTTTAATGTGAAGTAGGGATGAATCTAGTCTAGGTGTTAACTGACTGGTGTCAGCTATGCTTTCCTTTTTCTTGCCTACAACATATGAGGAGTGACCTCTGCTAATTGCCATTTTGTTTTTAGCAGCAGAGTATACTAGCAACAATTCAGCAGTTTTTCAGGGTCAACTATGTATATACCAGCAGACTTTTTTCTCCCACTGGTTACTGAAACTTCCTGAACTCAGAAAGAAGCTCCAAGTTCTCTTCACATGCCCCCTGGCTTGAGAGAATGGTCGAGTCACATTATTGTACACCAAATTCCAAATCCATTTTCTTATTTTTGGAAAAGATTTCAAGAAATGGGACCAGACACCCAAAAGGAGAAAGAGAACAAGGAGGAATACCCTGCCACAGAGGCAGGGTGGGATGAGGGAGATGGGGGCGGGGGGGGAGTGTAGGAGGGATACTGGGATCAGTGGTGGTGGAGAATGGGCACTGGTGGAGGGATGGGTATTCAATCATTGTATAACTGTAACCCAAGCACCAAAATTTATAAGTCTACAACTGTACCTCATGGTGTTTCACTAATAAAAATCTAAAAAAAAAAAAGGAAATGGGGTCAGAGAGAAAGGACCGTGGGTAGGACACTTTCATTGCATGCGACTGACCCAGGTTCAATTTCTGGCACCTCATATGGTCCCTCGAGCCTACCAGGAATGATCCCTAAGTGCAAAGCCAGAAATAATCCCTGAGCACAGCTGAGTGTGCCCCACCTCCCAAAAGAAGTATCTTACTTTTGGATAAATTATTATCTCAGGCTGGCAGGGAAATACTTGCCTTGCCTACATATGGACTTAATGAAACAGCATCAAATTAAAGGGCATTTTTCCCCCTGTGATGTCTTGGATACATTTTCATTTACTCTGCTTGTTGCACAGTGATATTTTAGAGTGGAGATGTGAACATAGCAGGGGATCTGACACTGTTGTACTCTGTGGACCACTTTTCCCACGTCTGTGTTACCTCACACTTTGTGTGTGTTTACTTTCAAAGGTCTGTGCCTTCATTTCTTCATCAGAGGCCCTTTCTGGGGCAGCTGGACTTCCTTTGCCCTCAAACCTGGTGATTTGGAAGTTGCCTGGTTGACTACTCATCTCTGAGCAACCTTGAGCCTCTAACTGATGAGAATACCATGAAAATTCAGCCTCCTTGTTTTGTGTCAGGATAAACTGAGTTATCCCTTCCCTCATATTACTCCTGAAATATCAGAATGACACTCTCCTCCATAGCACTTACCTTGAGGAGCTAGAGACGTGGTACTGAAATTCAATTGCTTGCCTTGTACACCTCCAACCTTCATTCAAGCCTCACCTCATTTAGAGTCCCCCAATCACAACAACTGGGTGTGATGCAACTGCCACCCGTCCCCCACCCAAATAAAAAGATGACCTGAGATTACTCTTTCCTGTTCATTAACCATTCACTTACTAGTTTCTCCTGGAATAGTTTCCAGTTGCCTCATGTTCTCATTTAAGGGTCTGATTTGAATAACTAGGCCTAAGATGTTAGGCATGCCTAGAACAGTTGCAAACCAAGTATTGTTGTCCTTTTCTAATCATGGAGACAGATAAACACTTTTGGGACATACAAGTTAATTCACTTTTTTATGATGTTCCCAGTGTATCAAGGAATATTTTCTATGACATTTAAACCATGTATGCCTTTTTTCAAATAAAAGTCTACCCATTCCAAATCTATTTAACAGTATGTTTAGGATTATTTAAAGGGGCAAGGAAATATCCTTTGCTCCTCTACACCTGACACTTTATAAATAGGGAGTCCTGCATTTGCATAAGCAAGTCTTTGGCATATATGTAAATGTATGTTTATATTTGTATTTTACAGAATCCTGAAGGAGGCCTATATGTGGCTGTGACTCGGTTGGCAGGTATCACTGGAATTGTCATCACACTATGCCTCATATTAATTATCACCTCCTCCACAAAAACCATACGGAGGTCTTACTTTGAAGTATTTTGGTACACACACCATCTCTTTGTGATCTTCTTCATTGGTCTCGCCATTCATGGAGCTGAGTGAGTGTTTCAATTCTAAATTCAAGTATTATATGCCCCTCAGTTTCCAAGTATGATGCTCTGTGAAAGACATAGTGACCTCCATGTCTGTGTGTGTTCACCCTATATTCTGAGGAAATAAGAGGAAACAGCAGAGGTCAGCTTGATAGAAACCACACAGCAATACTGTAGTATATTGCATTCAGTAAATTGCTATTCATGGTGCAGTTACTTAGAGAAAGTTTGAGAACTATGCCAGAGTTTGAGTAACTCTTCAATGATATAAAACATATTGAGACTATTGGTAGGGTCTTGGGTATCTGCGGGGAAATATCCCAGGGTTTAATCACTGGTGTATTAGATAGACTCCAAACTAGAGGAATTAGTTGAAAAGGTTTGTTGTAAGTTTTTATTTAAGCCTATCATTTATTGATTACCACTGTGTATGAGGACTTATCTCCAGCATTGTGGGGGAATGCTAGAAAGAAAAACACATGGCTATTATCTTCAAGAATTCTACTGTAATAAAGGTATAAACTAACTTCTATAGCACAGACATAAAGTGTTTCTTTTAATGCTCGTGTAGATATTCTCTTACTATAACCATCTCCTGGGGAAATTAGATGAAAAGTCAGTCTAATAGAAGGTAAAATATGTAGCACAAGCCCCTCACACTGTAAATGACATAGCTGGAGCTACATAAAAGGTGATCTAAGGCAGGCTGCGATAAATATTCTCATAGAGATACAGTGCCTAAGTGTGTGGCTAGGAGCATTTGCATTAGAAATAATTCTCTTTAAGGGGCCGAAGAGATATTACAGTGGGTGAGGTGCCTGCTTTCTATGTGGCTGACCTGGATTCTATCCCTGGCACCGCATATGTTCCCCCAAGCCTCACCAGGAGTGATCCCTGAGCAGCACAAAGCCAGCAGTAAACAGCACCATTGTGTGTGGCCCAAAAAAACAAAAACCTTCTGTTAAGACCAGATTATGTCAATAATTCAGGACTTGAACAATAGTAGAGTGGGTAGAGTGATTGCCTTGCATGCAACTGACCTGGGTTCAATCTCTGGCATCCCATATGGTCCCTAAGCCATGCAGGAGTGATCGCTGAGCACAGACCCAGGAATAAATGAGTAAAGCCATTGGATGTGGCCAAAAAAATATCTTTAAGACCAAATTATAGCAATAATTCAGGGATGGTGCAATAGTACAGGGGATAGGGTGCTTGCCTTGCATGCAGTTGACCCAGGTTTGATCCATGGCATCCTGTATAGTCATCTGAGCCTACCAGGAGTGATTCCTGAGTGCAGAGCCAAGAGGAAACCCTGAGCACCACCAGGTGTGGCCCAAAAACTAAAAAAAGGGGGAAAGTTATCTTTAATACCTATTTACTGTTTCATACTAGCTGGTTTTACCACCTGCACACAAAAAACAGACTTGGGGAAGTTCCCTGGTGGGTATGTGTCACCAGATAGTTAAGTGTGGAGGAAGTAGATACTCATGGCTCAGTGACTGCTCAGAGCCAAATCAACCTAGAGGTGACAGAGACCTGAGTATGAAAAGGGGGACGGGTAGGAAGAAGTAACATTGGGCAAACAGTTACATGCAATCTTGATCAACTTGTTGACTCTGAAACTTGAATAACTCTTTATAACCCCCCTGAAAACTTAATGTAGATAACGAATCTTTGACTCTCCTAAAGTATTTACATTTCTTTAAGTGGGACCTGGGCATAATCCAACTATTTCAGAGAACCCAAGAAGAAAATGCTTTATTTTCTTCTTCACTCTAACTTAGTAACTCAACCACTTTTTATTTTTAGAGCGATAGCACAGTGCATAGGGCGTTTGCCGTGCACACGGCCGACCCGGGTGACTCGGGTTTGATTCCTCCACCCCTCTCGGAGCTCCCGGCAAGCTACCAAGAGTATCTCGCCCACACGGCAAAGCCTGGCAAGCTCCCCGTGATGTATGGATATGCCAAACACAGTAACAAGTCTCACAGTGGAGATGTTACTGGACCCGCTCAAGCAAATCGATGAACAACGGGAAGACAGTGTTACAGTGCTACAGTTTCACAGACAAGTATTTTCCTTAGAAGTAGGTTATCTTTATACTTCATTTGAAAAGAATCTCCTTTATTTGGAATAGTTCTCCATTTGAGAAGAATCTGACATTCACTCCAGTTAGCTCAGTAATCAGTCTTTTGGCTAGCATCAACTGAACTAAGTAATAAAACTAAAATGTTCTTACTTTGGTTCTGGTATTAAGCATAGAAGGAAATTGTATCTATTCCAAGAATACAAAAAAAGTTAAAAAAATACTTATGCACATCTGTGTCCATTACAGTGCTTAGTACAATTGCCAAGATATGAAAACAAAATGAAATGACAGATAAAGAAGTTACTGTATATCTACACAATAGAATACTGCTAACTATAAGGAAAGATGAAACTTTTTTATTTTGGGGTCACATGTGGTAATAGTAAGGCGCTACTCCTGGCTCTGCACTCCAGAGTTATTCCTGGCTGTGCACAGGGACCATATGGGATGCTGGGGATTGAACCCTAGGTCAGCCACATGCAAGGCAAATGCTGTCTGGCCCCAGAAAGATGGAACTTGCTCCTTTATGCCATATGGATAAGGCTAGGGTGTATCATGTTAAGTGAAACAAAACAGAAGGAGGGTAAATACTGAATGATCTTACTCATAGGCGGTATATCAAGAAACAAGGCAAAGAAATAAACAGTATCCACAGATAAGTAAACCCATGGGCTTTGCTGCAGAACTGAGATTATCAAGCAATCAGGGAAGAGAAGTTTGTGGGTAGGAAGAGGTGGTTTAGAGGAGCCATAGGGACTTTGGTGGAAGGTCCTTGGCACTTTAGCGGTGATGAGGTGAAGCAAATTTGTACATGAAAAAAATATAACCATTAACACTATTGTAATCATATTACCTCAGCTATATGTATTTTTAAAATAAGAAGAAAAAGAGAGATGGGATCTTGGAGATAATACAAGGGTCATTGGCACATGCTGTCCATGTTCATGATCCTGGTTTAATACCCAGCTATGCAAGACTTCTGAAATCTACTGTCTATAGCCCTGGAGACCCTTGAGTACCATTTGAGTGTCCCTTCTGATTACCCATACATTCTTGGTCCCGAGCATTGAACCATCTGTCATGGTTGGCCAAATATCACCAGAAGTGACCCACGGCCCCTCTGAACATTGCTTTGGGACCCAACACCCATAAAAATAATAGAACTGGGGTCAGAGCAATAATACAATAATACACTTGTCTTCCATGTAGCTGACCTGATTTCAATTTCCAGCATCCCATTTGGTACCCCGAGCATCAGCAAGATGATCCCTGAGTATAGAGCAAGGAATAAGCCCTAAAGACGGCCACGTGTGGCCCCCAATCAACAATAACAACATCAAAATATTTTAGTTAAAAAAAGAACTAAGAAAAGAACTAAGAAAGTGTATTTTTGTTATTAATTCACCAGTAAATTTGGACATAAGAAACTTTAATAATTATTATTTCTTGGAGCCTTACCTCATGTCTCTTGATTTTTATACATTATGCCACCTCATCACTAAACTAAACCTTTGATGAATACATTATAGCTACTTTACATTTGAAGAAGTCAGTCCCAAAAGGAATTACATATCTTGTCCAAAAACTAAACAAGAGAAGGATGACCCTCACACCTGAAACCAAGATTAGCTGACTTGGGTCTAGAATTATTTTTTACCAAATAATTATGCTTCCAGGTAACTAGGATCTCTAAGCTTTCTTCTCTGTGACATACAGGTACTATGGGAATAACTAAGATCATCTGGGTATGGTGCCTTTCTCTTGACCTGACGCATAATACATGCTCAATATATGTATTTGCCCAAGACCTAGAGCTAGAAAGGGACAATCAATGACTTGAATTAAAACTTTATTAAATATATACTAAGTGGCATGAATTTTGAGAGCTTCCCCTTCACCAAGAAAACTTTTCAGAAGCGTTATAAAGAAATCTTCAATGTCTCTTATAATGTATTCTGAAGACCCTGCATTTATGTTCTTTGAAGTCAGGGACATGACACACTCCACTTTGTGCCTCACTTCCTCCAAACTCATGATACTAGCATTATCTTACATTTCAGTAGTTTTTCAATTAATATTTATTGAATTTAAGTGAAAGATCTTCAAAAGATGTACCATCAGTATTGGTGTCTGTGAGAATCATACTCTCCATGAACTAAATATTGAGTCTTTCTGGTTTAGTTTAGACAACTTGCAAATAACAAAGCACTTGGATTAAACAACAAGGTTTCTGGTGTGCATGAATGGGTTGCCAATTATACAAGTGTACCTGACCAAGAGGAGTAAAACTGAACCTTGCTCTGCTGGTCAAGATCTTTGCCTTTAAGACTGTCTTCACAATAGGGGAACTGGGTTCTAATTTATTAAAATTAGTGGCACTGTAGAAGCTTGCAATTTGTCATTTTGTATTTGCTTATAAATAAAAATAATATTTGAGGGGCTGGAGCGATAATACAGCGGGTAGGCCATTTGCCTTGCATGTGGCCGACCTGGGTTCGATCCCCAGCGTCCCATATGGTCCCCCAAGCACCGCCAGAAGTAATTCCTGAGTGCAGAGCCAGGAGTAACCCCTGAGCACCGCCAGGTGTGACCCAAAATGCCAAAGATAGAGAGAGAGAATAATATTTGAGTGTCCAGAGAGATTGTACAGGGGTTAAAGAGCATGATATGCTTACAAATTTGATTTGACACTTGTTTGGTCCCTGGCATCATGTGGTTCCTCAAGTTTCTCCCAGTGTTGCCCTAGAAATCCCTGAGTACTGCAGGGTATGGTTCTAGAGACCCCAAGCACTGCTGGGATGGCCCTGGTAATCCCCCAACACCTCACGTCCCAAGAAGCACTACAACCTCAGGCTACTTCATTGAATGGTCAGCCTGGTTGACTGAGAATCCTGAGTGACATCTGACCTCTTGGGCACAACTTGGGCAGTCCATTAATAAATAATAAACACTTGAAATAGAAGCACATAATGTTATAAATATTTTTGTGTCACTGTATATATTTTTCTATTGCTAAATATAACAGTTTTTATTTCCTTTTTCCTTGTTCTTTTTATGGCAGGGAGGGGGGGAGTTAATAAGATGTTACTTTAAAGTGGGAAGTACAGGACCCATATTAAAATACTTAAAATATACCAAGAATCTCAAATAATTGAATACTTAATTTCTTGTGCTTAAGACATAATTTGGATTTAATTCCCTCAGGCGAATTGTACGTGGGCAGACCTTAGACAGTTTGAAGAAACATGATCCGAGTAAATGTGAAAAAAATATCACTGAATGGGGGAAAATAAAGAACTGTCCCATCCCAGAGTTCGCTGGGAACCCACCTATGGTATGTACAATTCATTGTTTCTATTAAAATTTCATTATAAACAATCTTCACACTGTGTCTAAGAAATAAACAAAAGATCTTAGAATTGACATATATGAAAGTCATGGATCTATTAAAATGTTATAAGTATACAGCTATCTTTTCTGCTATAACTATTGTCTAAAATTATTTCTTGAAAATACATTCTCTATAGATCTATTATGAATGTCTTTATATAAAACTTTAGTGCTTTTAAATAATGCTTTTCTGTATTATTTTGGTAACTGCTGTTCAAGTTCAAAAAGTTCTATCTTTTCTCTTCTGGATATGAGTACCATAATAATAATAATTAAGTATTTTCAAAGAGATTCCATCTTAAGCTGAGTTGGAAAGCTCAGATTTTAAGAATCTAGGAGCCTCTTTAGATACGAAGAGATAAGACAGATACAGCTTCCAGAGCATGGAGGGAAATGGATAAATTAACACAGCAGTTTGCCTTTAGGCATCAGAAGTTTCTCTCTATGAGTCTTAAAAGAGGCAAGGCTCATCCCTATACCCAATGAATGACATTGAGTGGTATAGCAGGTATATGGCAAGGATGATCAAAGGAAAATAGATGGAAATATTACCTTTTTCTGTTTTGAGCTTCAAAATGTACCTTTGTGTGTATTCTCAGCATCTCTGCTCCATTGAATGAGAGGTCAGAACTATACTCATATATCTTCCTCCATTGGGTATCATGCAGGTCTTTGGTATAAAATTAGGCAAAAATCAACTATTGCACAGGGCTTCTGAACAGTACTGTTTTATTTTCCTTAAATGCAGAATAATATAAAGTTATATTTACATCTCAGGTTTTTTTTTGTTTTGGTTTGGTTTGGTTTATGGGGCGATTATGCCTGATTGCATTCAAACGAGACCCATGGTGACCCGAATAAATGATGTGAGACTGCTTTGAAAACCTATTCCGTGAAAATAAAGACATCTAGCAAAACACTTTTTATTTCTTTTTTCAAGTCTATTTTTTTAAATTTTTATTAGTGAAACACCATGAGGTACAGTTGTAGACTCACAAATTTTTGTGCTTGGATTTCAGTTATACAATGATCAAGTACCCATCCCTCCACCAGTGCCCATCCTCTACCACCACGGGTCCAGTATCCCTCCCACCCCCCATCTCCCCTATCGCACCCTGTCCCTGTGGCAGGGCATTCCCTTTTGTTCTCTCTCTCCTTTTGGGTCTTGTGGTCTGAAAAAGAGGCATTGAGTGGCAATCATGTTTGGTCTATAGTCCACTTTCAGCATGCTTCTCCCATCCTGGGAGGATCCTCCCAACACCCTTTATTTGGTCCTCCCTTCTCTAATCGGAGCTCCCCTTTCCCCTAGCATGTGTGGCTGGCCTCCAAGCCAGGGAGCAAAATTCCTGGTACTAATCTCGGCCACTCTTGGGTGTTAGTCTCCCATTTTGTTACTTTATGTTCCCCAGATGAATGCAATCTTTCTATGTATATCCCTCTCTTTCTGACTCATTTCGCTTAAAATGATACTTTCTATGTAGTACCACTTGTATGTAAATTTCATGACTTCATCTTTTCTAACAGCTACATAGTACTCCATTGTGTAAATATACCAAAGTTTCTTTAACCAGTCATCTGTTCTCAGTCAGGTTTTTTCCAGATTCTCAAAAAATTAGAAATTGAGCTCCCATTTGACCCAGCAATACCACTCCTGGGAATATATCCCAGAGAGGCAAAAAAGTATAGCCGAAGTGACATCTGCACTTGTTTGTTCATTGCAGCACTCTTAACAGTTTTTATTTCTGGGGGAAGGTATTCTTCAACTTTGGCTCGGGATGGGAACTTTTGGGTGATCTCAATTTCCAACAATAAGGTTCTTTTTTAAAAAATTAATAGATGGCCTGAAATATAGTACAGGGGTTAAGGTGCTTGCCTTGCACTTAATATAATCCTCACCACTGCTATAGTTCCCACACCCAAGCACAGGTAGAAGTGACCTCTGAGCATGGAATTCAGAGTAAGCCCTCAGAACTGCTGAGTTTGGCCCAAACACTCCTCACCCCCTGCATTCTAACCGAAATATCATACAAAACTATAGGTAACACTCTGACTTTTTTTCCATTTGGGGATTAATTCTGTAATTTCATCTCATAGATGATACTATCATTTAAAATTTTTGCTACTGTAGGAAATAATACTAGGAACCTAACTTACTGAACCCTACGATGGATCTATGTGGCCTAAATATTTTTATATAGCAAACAACACTACCCAGTAATTCCAGTATTACCCAATACTGCATATTCTGACAAGAGGAGAATCTAGGGAAATTTGAAATGCTTTAGGTTTATTCCCATTCAGCAAATGCGTTGCACAACTCCCTGACTTTAGTAGGATATTAGAGAAATAGCTAAATTGTTGCTGAAAATTTCTCATATTGCAAAAGATTAAAATTTGACACCGTAACTAAGATAAGCAATCTCAATGTTGCATTAAAATATGGTATTGCTGAAATACTATAATCTAGAAAAATGTTAATTCTGAAACCATCCTTGCTTTGCTGTAGGGTTATTGCAACTGTTATTGCAACACTTGGAGGAAATTCCACCCTTGTGGGCAGTTCCTCTTGGGAAAGTTTCATACTGTAGATATAGTTCCCTAAATGTGGCCAAGGATATGCTCGTTTGGTTTTTTTAAAACTGGCTAGATAACTTATTTTATTTTATGTATTTTCCATGCAGTCTTTTGTATAAGAAATTTACTAACTTCATACCAAATATTTAAACAAGCCCATTTAAGCAAGATTAACTTGACTTTAAAATGTGTTATCCGATTAATCTTTTGTTAATTGTCACCCTTCAACACATTTATTTTTCACCTTTGCTCTGATTACAGACCTGGAAATGGATAGTGGCTCCCATGTTCCTGTATGTCTGTGAGAGGTTGGTCCGGTTTTGGCGATCTCAACAGAAAGTAGTCATCACCAAGGTAACAGCTGAATTAAAAATTACTAATAGCATCAGGACAAGTCTATCCAAGTTCTCTCTGTCATTGAAGCTTTTTTCTTTTACTCAGCTCCCCAGGTTCTATATCTGCAGAGTTGACCAATCTTGGATTGAAAATATTTATTCTATAGTTCAACCTACGATAGATGCATCTGTACTGAACATGTACGGATTTTTTTCTTGTCACTATGCCTGATCCCCTCCCCAACAACACAGTAAAACAGGTACAGGAGTGATAGTGCAACAAGTAGGATGCTTGCCTTGCATGCAGAAGACCTGAATTCTATCCCTGACATCCCATATGGTACCCTGAGCATCTGCCAGAATTAATTCCTGAGTGCAGAACCAGGAGTAACCCTTGACCATCGCCAGGTTTGGTCCCCCAAAACCCCAAAGCCCCCTAAAACACAGTAAAATGACTGTTATAGCATTTCCATTTCATTTGGTATAATTCATAACCCAGAGATGATTTAAAGCATATCAGAGGATATGGTAATATACAAAAACTATGTCATTTTATATGAAGCTCTTAATATCTGACAATTTAGGTATAAGAAGGTATGCAGGGGCCAATCTCTTGCAGATCATGAGGATGAATCTATTTGCTCCCCCTCTCCATGCTTCTAAGTGGTAATTCATAGCCAAATGAATATTTAAATATAAATAAATAAAATGGAAAATACTTGTTCTAATATAGAACAATGCCAGCCAAGACTCTGTATTGAAATTTGAAGCAAGGTGAGTCACCCCCTGCAGTGCTCAGGTGTATTACTCGCTCTGGTTCTGTGCTCAAGGGTGGTGCTGAGGAGAAGGTGATATGTGATGCCAGAGATCAAACTGGGGTTGATCTTAATCTCAGAACTATCTCTCCAACCCCCATACAGGATTATTTGGGGGGGGCGGGGGTATTGGGTCACTCCTGGAAGTGCTCAGATCTTACGCCTAGCTCCTCCTGACTCTGCTTTCAGGGATCACTCCTGTCAAGGCTAATAAGGAGACCATATGTGGTTTCAGGGATCAAAAATGGGCCAGCTGTGTGCAAGGCAAGCACCCCACCCACTGTACTATGGCCCCGACAAGATTATTTTTATCAAATACAATTTAATTTAATTGGTATTTACCAAAAGGCTACCCCAGGTTATATTTGAAAAACACACAAATTCTTCCTATCCTTCACCCTAACTTTTCTTTCTTTTGCGGTGACCCCCCCAGCAATGGTTTGGGAGGCCACATTTAGTGACTTTATGTGGTGCTGAAGATCGAACCAAAGTCATTCATAAGCAAAACATTTGCTCTTATTTCTATAGTATTTCCTGGAGCCCTCGTTTTTCTTTCTCGATGTCTGTGAAGGTTCCTAGTAAAGACGTCAAGCTGGTATTGTATATCTTGAAATAAAGGAAACCACAACAGTTCTCCTTTCACATTGAGTTTATATTGTATTATACAAGGAAATGCCGTACATCAGCAGAGGGAGCTGACATGAACTTCCCTTAGCAAAAGAGAGCTGACAAAACAGAATGCACTTTTCTAGCAAACTTGTTTTTATGTAACGAAAATAAGTTTTCTGAACAAGAACTGAGTGCTGAAGAGAGATAAAGTAATATACATGATAACGTTTTCAGTACCTGTGCTGCAAACCAGAATGCCTTAAAGGAGGGAAGGGAGCGAGCGAGCGAGTGCGCGCGCGACAGAGAGAGAGAGAGAGAGAGAGAGAGAGAGGGGTGTAACTGTTTGGCAGACTGGGTGTGAGTGGTGGCGGGAGGGAAGCTGGGGATTTTGGTGGTGGGAAATGTATACTGGTGAAGGGATGGGTGTTGAAATATTGTGTGACTGAAATCCAATCATGGACAACTGTGTAACTGTGTATCTCACCCTGATTCAATCTTAAAACGGGGGTGGGGGGTTGATAAGGTTTTATTTCTTCCTTTTCAAAAAGAAATATCAAAAGCAAGATGTCACCCAAAAGTGTCCCAGTGACAATGCAGTCCACTAGTTTATTTTATTTGGTTTCATCCAAGTCTGACTGTAAAGTTGCAATATGGTTAAGACTGTTCTTACCACATAATCACTGTCCTCCTGTTTGTTCATTGATTTTCTCAAGCGGTCACCAGTAACGTCTCCACTGTGAGACGTTGTTACTGTTTTTTGGCATATTGAATACTTCATGGGGAGCTTGCCAGGCTTTGCCGTGCTGGCAAATACTCTTAGTAGCTTGCCAGGTTCTCCAAGAGGATCGGAGGAATCAAACCCCGGTCGGCCGCGTGCAAGGCAAACGCCCTACCCACTATGCTATTGCTCCAGCCCTACCACATAATATTATAACATATTTTTTAAAATTAGTAAAGTACTTTTTCAAATATTTAACTTTTCAACATACTTTAAAATAATTAAATTGTTATTGAGACAACATTGGATTGTAACATTATATAAGTCTCAGGTTACTGTTTTCCAAATGAAGCATCATAACTCCTTATTTGAGGGAAAAAAGGAAAGATGATCATAGCTTTATCATGGAAGATAGACTTAAATCACAGGTTTTGGGAATTGATAATTCTTATTAAAATGATTGCTCATTCTCTTTTATTGTGGAATATCCAGTAATACTACTTAGGAAACTGTCATTTTGTTTTTGTTAATTTTTCTTTTCGTTTTTGGTCTTTACCCAACCCAACAGTGCTCAGGGGTTACACCTAGCTCTGTACTCAGAAACTACACGTGGTGGTACTGTGGGGGATTGTATGGAGTGCCAGGGATCAAACCCAGTTCAGCCACTTGCAAGGAAAGTGGCCTACCTCTTGTACTATCGTTCGCTCCAGCCCCTGTTATTTTTTCTATTATTTGATGCCCCTTCATTTGTTTTCATTGTACATGTAAATTTCCTTTAGGAATTTCAGTAATTGTCAAAGAAATAGTGTTTCTTATATTTCAACGTTTTGTGTGTGTATGTGTGTGTTATTTTGGTTTGGGGGCCACACCCAGTGGTGCTCAGTGCTTACTCCTGGCTCAGTGCTCACAGATCACTCCTGGCAGGACTTAGGGGTCCATATGGGATGCTGGGAATCGAACTGGATGGATCGTGTGCAAGGCAAGCCCTCTACCTGCTACATTATCTCTCCAACCCTATAGTGTTCTATTAAAAAAAATTTCCAACTAGTTGGTAGTCATTTGGATTTTTTCCAGTTTTTTTTTTTGCAATCATGAACATAACCATTATACCATTCATATACGTGGAGAATGAGTATGCCAATGGATGGGTGGGGTCTGACGGAGGGGGGTGAAGTGAGATAGATGCTGTATTGCCTAGGTAGGAAGAAATGTAGGCATTGATTCAGGTGAGTTCCAAGTGCGACTCAGGACAAAAGCAAACAGCACAGATTGGCTTGGTTTGAAGAACGTTGCTACTATATAATTCACCATGTGGTTTCCTTCTTCTTTGCTAAGATTCCTGACCATTCCTGGGGAGATAATCATCTCTTTCCTCTTAGCAGGAAACCATCTCTTCTTCCTATTTCTAGGAGCTGCCTAGTGTTCTCAAGGGAAAATCATTTTCACAACAGACTAACATTGAAAGATAAATTCCTTCATAAGAATAAAGCATAGTCTCAGGCAATGAACAAGTACAATAAAAGAAAGGTAGAATTGTGGAGAGGTAGTTTAGGCCCCTCAACTGAAGCCTCAGCTGATTGTAGAGGGAGCGCTAAAGTCACAATATCCCCTCACAATGTTCTCAAATTGAGGACAGAGGTCCTTTTATCCTTGCATCAGATTTTCACTGGCTGTGGGTTACAGGCAAGAAAAATTTCCCCATAGGAGATACATCTGCTGGAGGAACTGTTATATTGGCCCTGAAGCTGGGAACTGGGTTGGGGGCAAGGGGAGTCTTAACTCAACCTTTTATTCATGTGAACTCTAAAAATGACAAATATTTGGGAAAAGTATAGTTTTCAGACACGTATTTTGTTGGTAGGTGGTCACTCACCCTTTCAAGACTATTGAGCTACAAATGAAAAAGAAAGGATTCAAGATGGAGGTGGGACAATACATTTTTGTCAAGTGTCCTAAGGTGTCCAGACTTGAGTGGCACCCTTTCACACTGACTTCTGCACCTGAGGAAGACTTCTTTAGCATCCATATCCGTATTGTCGGGGACTGGACAGAAGGACTATTCAATGCCTGTGGCTGTGATAAGCAGGAGTTTCAGGATGCCTGGAAACTACCTAAGTGAGTACAATATGCATGTGATAAACATAAATGAATTCGGGGGGGACCCACTAATTAGCTCGTCTTCTATCTCTCATTATACTATCTCCTGCATTTTGAAAAAACACACAGATTGTGCAACCATAGGAAGTGATTTCTGTGTTCTCCATTTTATGTTTTTTGGTGTGTCTATAAAGATATTTATAAATCTTATATGGAATATAAAAATATTTGAATCAAATGCTAGCAATAGATACTCCCAGCATCCTTTAAATATTTGTAAAAGTTAAAGCCAAATATTTTTCCAAACAAACTCTAGTGCATCAAAGGCTTTAAAATTTTAATTGGCATTTTATTTGAAGGTGAATGTCATATATTATTCACCTGCCTAACAATGTCAACCATTTAATAAATGCTGACGGACAGGAGTTTTAATAACTCAGTGAATAAAGACATAAAAATAAGAGTTATTAAATCTATAATATGTTGTGATATGGAAAATTCCCACTTTAGCTCAATGGGCATCAATGGACAGAAATTCCAAGTGTGGGACACACAGACACACACAGACACACAGACACACAGACACACACAGAAACACACCAACTCCCCACAACACACACACACACACACACAAACACACACACACTGTGGGTGAAACAGTGTAGGGGGAATGTCCCTGAGAGTTTCCCAAGGTTTTCGGTTAGCTAAAAACTCCTCTTACTTCCAAATGGAGTACTGACACCAAGTTGGTTACTTGAAAGCAATTTCCCAGATACAGAGTGCCATTTTGAAGTGTCATATTTCATACACCCGGTAACATTTGTTTCCCATCCTATTTCCAATAGCAAAATATCTATGTAACCATCTCCCACACTTTCCTACAGGATAGCGGTTGATGGGCCCTTTGGCACAGCCAGTGAAGATGTGTTCAGTTACGAGGTGGTGATGTTGGTGGGAGCAGGCATTGGTGTTACACCCTTCGCATCCATTCTCAAGTCAGTCTGGTACAAATACTGCAATAATGCCACCAATCTGAAGCTTAAAAAGGTATATTTGTCCATTTCTCAGAGTCCCTCAGATCACTTTCTTCTGAGTGAAGTTTGGAGAGCTTCAGAGTTGAGGCTGGCAGAGACCTAGGACAGTGACAGTTCCAAGACACTCCAGAAAGGCTAGATAAGTTAAGGGATCTTTGAAAAAGTTAGTGTGCTTCTATATAAATGACTTATTTGTGAAAGTACTATATTGTATTTGAGAGCCTTGGTAGAAATTTGGTAGAAGGTAGAGAAAAGAAAAAGCATTCACAATCCTGTCTAGTAGCTATCCTTTTGTATATCGCTTCTAATATTTTCCCATGTATTTGCATGTTCTTAGAAAGTTATAAATATTGACTACACACAATTCCAAATCCTCCATTTAAATATATTATAGAAAATGTTTCTTAGCTTGTCAAAGGCTTTGTAGTGATTTTTTTAATGATTCCTTTATATTCCACTTAAATAATGTAGACTATTTTTTCCATCATCCCATATTAGCTACTGGGGTTAATTCCCCCTTCTTTTAGTCTTGGGCCACACCTGGTGATGTTCAGGGCTTACACCATTTGTGGTGTTGGGGGGTCAACCCCAAACTGACCGCATGCTAGGCAAAGACCTTAAGCCCTGTACTATCTCTCTGCCCTCTGATTCCATTTCTAATCTGCATATCAGTGCTATTTATTTATTTATTTATTTATTTATTGCAGGGAGAGGGCAGGAAAATATGTTTTTAAAGGAAACTTCTTCTTGTGGATAGAACCTCAGAATAAATTCCCAGGGGAACTTTTTTCCTCAAGTACAAATTTGGTTTCATTGCCTGATAAAGGACCTCACCTTCCCCACCCCCACCACCACAATTGGTATCTATAGTTTTATTTTCTAAATCTTTGGAAATTTCTCTAAGATGTATTTGTCTTAGAAACTTTTTTTATTGAGGTTTTCACTTTTATTGATTCAGAATACAATTTTTTTTCTTTTTGGGTCACACCTGGTGATTCACAGGGGTTACTCCTGGCTCATACACTCAGGAATTACTCCTGGCTGTGCTCGGGGGACCATATGGGATGCTGGGAATCGAGCCTGGGTCAGTCGTGTGCAAGGCAAACGCCCTACCTGCTGTGCTATCGCTCCAGTCCCCAGAACACAATTTATTTTAGGGGTATAATTTCACATCTCTTTCAAGTATGAGTTGCCACATCAAACCTATCACTAAAGTATCAATATTCTTTCACCACAGTCCAGTGAACTCCTCCCTCCCACAAACTCCCTTTCCCTTCTTCCCTTCAGTTCTGTGGTTAGAGTTCAAGGGCTCGTTTTAGTTAGACTTTTTATGTTGCCTTGTTTTGCTTGTCTGTATCCAACACAATAGTGGGGGAATTTGATATTTGTCTTACTCATTCTAACTTATTTTGCTTAACATGAACCCTCTAGTTCTATTCAAATCTTAGCAAAATGCAAGATTTCATCTTTTTGTTTTTTAGTTTTTGGGTCACATAAAGCAATTCCCAGGGGTTACTCCTAGCTCTGTACTCAGGAACTCTGTACCCCTGTCTCCTGGCAGTGCTCAGGAGACCACATGGAGTGCTGAGAATTGAACCTGGGTTGGAAAAGTTCAAGGCAAGCACCCTACTCTCTGTACTATCTCTCCAGCCCCAGTTGAGTAGTATTCCACTCTACATATAGACCACCATTTCTTTATTCACTCTTCTGTCATTTGGAAGTGGTTTGTTTACAGATCTTGGCTATTGTAAATGTGCTAGAGTGAACATATATGTGAAAATAGCATTTCAAATTAGTATCTTTGTGTTCTTTGTATAGATATCTAGGAGTGGAATTGCCAGGTCATATATGGTAGATTTAATTTTGATATGACATATTCTATAAAAATTGAGCCATCTAACAATTGAAAGATAACCTCTAATAGGGACATTTACTTATGCTAATTTTTATTTCCCTTTCCCTCTTTTCTGTGCAGTGGAGTTGTGGGTAGAAATACTTTTTCCCCCAAGGCAGATCTTAAAGACCTGTCAGTAAATGTTGATAGCAATTATTGCTAGTCTAGAGATTCCACTGGCCTTCTGAGACAAGGTATAAAGGTATCAAGGGATTCGGGGAGAATAAGAGCAAACCCCGAGGGAAAGTGGTAGGCTAACGCCTTTTTTTTTTAAAGTGATTGTCTTTTTGAGACCAAGGTATTACTTTAGTGTCATGAAAGTATGAAGACTAGAAGGCTCTAGTTTGAAGAGCTGGTTTGTGTAATGTCCAGAGTGCTCTGAAAATCTGTTTCTAGGCACTCTGAGCAGGAAGAAAAATGTTTGGGGGAGGGGATAAAACCCTGTGCCAGTGCTAACAAGATCGTTTATATCATCTGTTTCTCTTTCAGATCTATTTCTATTGGCTATGTCGAGACACACATGCCTTTGAATGGTTTGCAGACTTGCTGCAACTTCTGGAGACCCAGATGCAGGAGAGGAACAATGCTGACTTCCTTAGCTACAACATCTATCTCACTGGCTGGGATGAGTCTCAGGTAAAGAAAAGATTCCATATCTCAGGTCCTTCCTATAGTGCCCAGTGTTTACTGATTTCTCCTTGATACATGGAATGGTTGGTGGATTCAGATCTGGTTCATTCACTCTCACTACTATCCCTATGAGTTCATACTATTGAGACTAGAAAAAAAGGTTGTGTATGGAACAGATCAAATCTAAGGAGCCTATAAGAGAATAAAGCCATGATTCTGATCTCTTTAGAGTAATAGTCTCATCAGGGATCTGGAACCAGTTGAACAAGATTATCCACTGGTTATGGAAAGGAGATATTAGTTTTATCTCTCTATGTATACATAGATATGTATATAGTCACATACAATATATATTAGATATGTGTATGTATTCATGCATGTTTGATAATATATGCGTGCACTTAAGAAGTGAAAACAACTTCTAATTACCATTAAGCAATGCTATTGTGCCAGGCAGTGTTATTAGTGATTATCCAATTCAAGTCTCAAAATGAGGAAGCCAAGGACAGGAACAGATTAGGTTATTTGTCTAAGAGTAACAATGATGGGTCTCATTCCCGTGACCCTGAAAGAGCCTCCAATGTGGCACTTGCTAAAAATCTCAGGACTAGGATGAATGGAGACATTTCTGGTGTTTGCTCCAGGAAATCGATGAACAATGGGATGACAGTGATTCAGTGACACAGTCTAAGAGTAGTCAAAAAGTGACAGTCACAGTGCTCAAGAGCTTGTTCTCTTAGCAATTACAAGTAGTTCATGATTATCATTTGTAAATAAACCAATATAATAATAAAGGTAATGTGCATATGTACATTAAGCATATATATATATATACATCCCACCTTCATCCTGGAATATTTACCAATGTGAATATCTTAGAAATATCTTAGAAATCACAAGATAGTCTCCTATAATAAAGAATTATACAGCCCCAAATGTATGTGAAAATTACTAATATTGAGAAACCTAAAATAATTTAATGATTCCTAATGCATACATATTTTTGTTTGTTTGGGGGCCACACCCAGTGATATTTGGGGATTTCTCCTGACTCTGCACTCAGTAATTACTCCTGGTCATGCATGGGGAATCACAGGGATGCCGGGGATTGAATCTGGGTCAGCTGTGTATAAAGCAAACACCCTACCCATTGTAATATTTCTTCAGCTCCGCAATACATACATCTTTATAAGTAAGTAAATGTTACAAATATTTATCAGTGTTTCAGCTGCATAAGGTGTCACTCTGAGTGGGAGCAAAAGCAGATTCTCAGCTGGACATACCTAGAGCAAAATCATCTGATAAAAATGAAATCCAGAAAGAGCTGGACCAACACTAAGGGCTGGAAGGCTCTTGCCTTGCACATAGCCGACGCAAGTTCTATCCTCAGCACCACATATGGCCTCATGAACCCTGATAGGAGTGACTCTTGAGCTCAGAGCCAAGGAGCATGCCATGAACACAGCCATATCTAGCCCATAATTCTCCCCGAAAAAAGTAAATAAATGGTGGTATGGTGCCGCCAGCAGGTCAATCTGTACCTGTGAGGTGAGTGCATCAGCAGCCTCATGGCACCTTCAGACTTCCAGATACCCCAAAATTGCTGCTGTGCCTTTGGCCAGACCCCGAAAACTTGGGGCAAAGTTTACCAAGAAAGTAAACAGCCAAAAGTTAGGTATGTGGGAGACACACCCACAAACCACCTCCAGCTCAGCTATATAATTAGAGGATGGCCTCTATTTTTCCTGATTGAACTGCTTAATGGCCATGATCCCAGAGACTCAGAAACAAATCTCGAAACTCAGCAGCTTTTGGCAGAAATGCATCCGGTCCCTGCAGTAGGTTACCAGTGCTGAGCCAACCCAGGTGGGAATAGGTTTCATGCCTTGGCCTGTTCCCCCAGGCGGCTCTGTGGCCGCCATCCTCCACAAGCCACTGGACAGTCAGGTTTGGCCCCCAGTGACAAGACACGCAGGGCCTCAGGGGATGGGGGGGCTGGGCCTGTCCTCCCCACCCCAACGAGACCCCAAGTCATCGCCCATGAATGGCCTCTCTGACTCCTTATCAAGCTGCTTAACGGCCATGATCCCAGAGACTCAGAAACAAATCTCAAAACCCAGCGGCTTTTGGCAGAAATGCGGCCGGACTCCACAGTAGGTTACTGTCGCCGGGCCACCCCAGGGGGGAAAGGGTGTTGTCCCTTTGCCTGCTCCCCCTTGGTGGCTCGGTGGCCATCATCCTCCAGAGCCCACTGGACAGTCAGGTCTGGGCCCGCAGTGACAAAACTTGTTGGACCTCACAGGATGGGGGTGGAGCTGGTCCTGGTCTCCCCGTCCCAACGAGACCCCAAGTCATCGCCCACGAACGGCCTCTCTGGCTCCTGATCAAGCTGCTCAACGGCCATGAACCAGAGACTCAGGAGCAAATCTCTAAACCCAGTGGCTTTTGGCAGAAATCCCTCCAGATTTAAGTGTTAAAATTTCAGAATTTCAAAATCATATGGCCCTACTGCAGCCACGCGACATCATATGTTATTCATAACCAGCAATAGAACACAAATTGTCTACTGTTGCCTTTTCAGCAGATCTGAGTGTTGGGGTAAAATCTCAAATAATAATGGTGGGTTTGGTGACGAAATATTGAATGTGATCAAAGTAGAGAAAGAGTAATGTGGAAATCATCTGCCTCACAGGTAGGGGAAGGGTGTGAGATGGGGGTATACTGGGGTTGTTGGGGGTGGAGAATGGGCACTGGTGAAGGGACGGGTGTTTCATTGTATGACCGAGATTTAGACCCGAAAGCTTTGTAACTGCTCTCACGGTGATTCAATAAATAAAATTATAAAAAATGAAAAAAAAAAGCAAGGTGGAGTTCATGCACAATTCAATCAGCTAATCAGTGGCTGAAAAAATAGCAGTACTCCTACATTTTAAAAAAAAGTAAATAAAAAGTAAATATGAAACTTGGGGTAAATCCATAGTATATAAATATATTATAACTTCCTCATCTGAAATGTGGATGTCAGCAATAACTACTTCATAGCATTATTGTGAGGCTTGAATTAGATGATAAATAAGAACATTACCTTGCACAATAGCATTGCTTAATAACAATTAGTAGCTATTATTACTTTTTTGCAGTTGTTATTTACATAGCTATGCACACTATTTTTGAATTATTTATTATTGTTGCGATTCAGTGCTATTAATAATAGTTCCTCATGAACATAATTCCAATACCATATACATCACCAGTGTACCCTCTCCTTCTCCTAAGGACCCTCAGATTCCTCTCTCCCAATTCCCCTACCAACTCAATTGTGTGGATCAGTTCTCCCATTATGTTGCCTTAGGACCTTTATTGCAACCTTGCCATTACCTTTATGTGCCTTATTTTAAATGTAGGTTGCTTTGAATTGAAAAAATAATTCTATTACTTTGTAAAACTGGTCCCTGCAGGACCATTGAACTAGAATAACACCCTTCTACGCATCCTTCATCTCCATTATCCATCTATGAATTTAAAACTAGATTTATTATTTTATAATAAAACACTACTTCTCAAGTACTGTTCAGGGTATCTGGGGACCACTTCCACTGATACTCGGCCAACCAGACTGTGTGATTCAATGCTGGAGCACAAAGATGTGGTGCTGAGGGCCACCTAGAGGTGCTCAAGGGGCCATGAGGTCCTGGAGATTAAATTCAGAGCCTAGCACATGCATAGCATGCACCCTACCCCTGAACTATCTTCCCAGCCCCAGATTGATTTTTAAATAAATTTAATTACTGATTTTTATGAAAAATACATCTTTTTTAAACTGAGTTCCCCTGGAATAGTAGCACTATAGCACTGTCATCCCATTGTTCATCGATTTGCTCGAGTGGGCACCAGTAACATCTCCATTGTGAGACTTATTATTACTGTTTTTGGCATACTGAATAGGTCACGGGTAGCTTGCCAGGCTTTACCGTGCAGGCAGGATACTCTCGGTAGCTTGCCGGGCTCTCTGAGAGAGTTGGGAAAATCGAACCCCGGTCAGCCGCTTGCAAGGCAAACACCCTACCCACTGTGCTATCACTCCAACCCCCCCCCCATAGTAGAAAACAAATGTTTCTATGTATACACACAAAAACACGCTACTCTTTAGACTCACTTTGATCCCTCTTTGTTACTAAAATATAAAAGCATTTTGGTCTATGATAATTTCCATTTTTAATGATTGTCCCAAATGAGTGGAGGTATATTAGCATGAGAAAAGAAAGTCAGATGTAAGGAAAGCAAAACTGTGAAAATTGAGAAATTTTAAATCCTACTCACACTTCGAAGCTCAGAAACTTTTCCATAACCTCCACCCACAATTCCTTTATCTTTTATCAGTGAGGTGCTTGTGTTTCTTCCAAAGTATTCATGTGTATACTTTGACATCTCTCTTTCTAGAAGAAATTTCATAAAAAGACTAATTTTGTTTAGCATTGTTTATCTTATTGCTTCTAGCATGTTAACTTGCTCCAACCATGTGTAACCCAAATAAATAGTGAGAGCTTCATGAGCTGTCTGTGTATGTTTTTGCAGCAGATCAGCATGTCTCATTGTGTGTGTATGTGTGTGTGTTGCTGGGAATTGAACTCAGAGTCTTATATGTGTAGCTTAGTTGTGTATCTGTTTTTTCCTTCTTTCTGAATTTATGTTTTTCTCTGCAGGCCAATCACTTTGCTGTGCACCATGATGAGGAAAAGGATGTTATCACAGGCCTGAAACAAAAGACCTTGTATGGGCGACCCAACTGGGATAATGAATTTAAGACAATTGCAAGTCAGCATCCAAAGTAAGGAGTTCAACTAAGATGTTCTTGAAGCTCATGTCCTATCTATAGCAGTAGCTCCCAAACATGACTATATTGATATATTCTAGAGATAGAATCACCTAGACAACTATATTCATACCCAACAAAAGGTTCTAAATATTGCTGACTTTAAGAGAGAGACTACATCACACCAAAATGACCTAGAGAGCTATTATAAGCAAAAATTCTCAGTACCCACCTCAAAGTTTCTGACCCCTGCTCCTTCCAAGTAGGGTAATAACTCAAGGGACTTTTGTTCTCCAAAATTTCACTATTTCTTTTAATTCAATGCTATATATGTATTAATTATTAGGAAACACTGCCCCCATTTCCAGTTAAAGATTTTGGGTCTAAAATAATAAATGTCCATACATTCCCAAGTTCTTTCCATCCTTACTAATGTTTAGCCATCTGGAAACTTTGAGGGATCACTCTATCTTTACAGAACAATAATAACCTAAGAAACTACCATCAATGAGTCCTTTAGGCTCCTTTCTCTTAGTTGAGCTGAATTGCTGAAAGATCTTTTTAAAATACAGTGCTGACTTAGTAAATCTAGGCTGTTACCCAAGAATCAGCATTCTTTAAAAGAGGACTCTGAAGGTTACTGGTCTGAAACCACACCTTGAGAAGAAGGGCTTCAGATTCTCAAATGTTGAGTCATGCAGCCAAGCTCTGCTAACCAAGCTGTTGGCATAGTCAGTATTTCCAGTTTCACCATGCCAGAGGGTCTGGAACCACAGAAAAGTAGTAGCCCAGAGACTCAAATTCACCATTTCTCTGTTTCCAAAAATCCTCCTTTAATAACATTTTCCAGGGAAGTCATCAACTGTCTTTTGAAGTGTGCAGTTGCCCACCTCCCCTTCAAACATAGCTGAGCTTCCCTCTTCCAGGGCAATTTGGGTTCTGCATTTGTGAAAAATACAAAGGAGCAGAGAGCATTAGGCCCTGAGGAAGCAGCCCATCTAGAAGGAAACCAATAGGAACACCCAAGACACACACACACATACACACACACACAAACACATACACACACACATTCCACCACCACCACACCACACCACAAATGCGTGCATGCACATCTGGTTTGTCATTTATTTAATAACAAAATCTGAAACTTGTCTTTTTCTCTTTCTTTCAAAAGTACCAGAATAGGAGTTTTCCTCTGTGGACCAGAAGCCTTGGCCAAAACCCTCAGTAAACAGAGCATCTCCAGTTCTGAATCTGGCCCCCGAGGAGTGCACTTCATTTTCAATAAGGAAAATTTCTAACTGGTCTGTTCCATGAGGATCTAAATGTGGGTTATGCTGCCAAATGCCCAAATAATACTAGTTGATGATATACATTCCTCCCTTTTAAAAATGGGATAACAGTAATGAAAACGCAATTGTTTTTCACTGAAAAAATAAGTCAAAAGATTGTTTGAATGTAATCATTTGTATGGGGTTTTATGATTTTTGGAACAATTTTACAAGCTTTAATTCATTTTTTCTCTTATAGTAATGCCAGAAAAAAGAGGGTAAGGATACCTAGATTTATTTTTTCAGGATAAAAATTGGGGGGCTCAAAATGGTGAGAAAAACTTCTAAAGTTTAGGAAGCTGAGACCAGATCTGTTTTGGGAGTCTTCCTATGATGTCAAATTTCCTACAAATAGGGTTTTATAATTCCAGTAGAAGAAACAAACCAGATAGTACCTATTTATTTTCCTTTTGTGTCATTTTTGTTATCATTGCCATATAGAAGGAAAATGTCCACGTAGTTAAGAGATAATATACGCTGAAAGTGATTCAGCACTTAATAGTGACAGGAATGATATTTGAAAATACCCATTTTTTTTGGAAGCCTAACTGGGTCAGAGAGATTTTTTTTCCTACAAAAGAATATGTGGCTGACCAGAATTCACAGAATACCTAGCATTTACAAAGATGTGTGGCAGAGAGTAGACACTCAAGGGCAGTTTGTTGAATGAATAAATAAAAAGACATTTAGAAATATATAATAATATATAATGCCAGGGTAGAATTTAAGTCTTAAATAGCTCCTGGGAAGTAGCTCCTGTTATTTTTATAGAGCAAAGGAACCTGATTCTCCTGAGAATAGAAAACAGACTAAGGACAGTAATTTGAAAGTTTTCTTAAATTCTTGTTTGAAGCTGGGGGCGGGAGAGAGAGAGAGATAAATTAGGGGGCTGGAGAGATAATACAGTGGGTAGGACATTTGTCTTGGGTAGGGGATTGAACCCCGACAGCCAACCCAGGGTTCAATCCCCTACACCCCATATGATCCCTGAGCACAGAGCCAGAGCCAGGAGTAATTCCTGAGCACTGCTGGGTGTAGCCACAAAACAAAACAAAGCAACAACAACAACAAAACAAACAAACAAGAGCCATGTAAGCAGAGAAGTGACCTCCTACCATAATTCCTGCTGGCTCCTTTAGTTCTGATTTCTGGGCTATAAAAAAATGCCAACCAATTTATTGCCACTTGTGATTTTCAAATCAAGAATGGTGCTAAGTATATATCTGATATGCCCACCTGCTTTAAATACTTCCACTCCACTTTACTTAAATACATTCACAAAAATTTATTTTATTTGTGTGACTAACAGTTTATGGGTTTAACAGCAATGACATCATCTTGATATTAACAGCATCTTGATATTAAGAACCTAAAATCCCTTGCTTATTGTGTATTAGATTCACATTCAGTAGAATGTTCTCTGAATGTGGTCAGAGTTTTTTATTTTGTTTTTGCTTTATTTTTCTGCTTAGACCTGCTTATATTTCTGGGAAATAAACACAGTTCCTCTCTCTGGAGCGACAAATATCTAGAACTAGTCAACTTTAGTAAAGAGGAAAAAAGTGAGGCAAACAGTGGAAGAGCAGATTAGGACAGGAGGGAAGGAGAAAGTGACTAAAAGGAGAAAGAAAAATCAAAAAAGAAAAAAGGGAAAAGGATCAGGGAAAGGAGTCTTATTTCCTACTTCAAATTTCTTAAAATTTTTAAATGTATTGGCTGTAATTGAAAGAAGCATATATGTGTATATATGTGTGTTTTTCATTTTACTTTGGTTATATATAGTCTTGAAGCTGAAAATCTAGTCAAAGATTTTAACGCTGAACAGGCATATTCAGGGGCCCAGGATGAAATAGTAAAACTCAGCTGCTCTTTGGCTCTCTGGATGCCCAGTGCTTTGACAAGTCAGATTTGCTATGGGAATGTTGCCTACTCCCAAATGTCCTAGGAACATCCCTGCTTAGAGAAACTTGGGGTCAGCCTGTTCTCACCACACTTCAGATATCTTTTAACCCATTCAACAAATTTTAACTGTTCTATTACTAAGCCACAGGCTCTGCATTCATAGTTTCACTCTTTATACCTAAGTGTGAGCAGGAGAGGAACCTCAGTTAGAAGCAGACTAAAAATCTTGGCCCTCTAACCTATGTGGCATGAGTAAAACCAACTTCAGTTGTCTCCCTATAAACGTTTCTCCAGGCTGTCTGCCTTTAACATTGACATAGTTGCCAAAAGAGAGAGATGCTCCCTGTGTTATTCTGGTTATAAGATGTGAAAAAAATGAGCATAAAGGTGCTTGTCGTGATGAGAGCTTGCTTTTTATTGCTTCTTCAAAGCTTCCAGCTGCCAGAATAGCTCTTTCAGCATTTAGTATTTAGAATATAGTGACAGGTACTGAGAAGATAATTAAGCAGTGCTTTTAATCTCAAGGCTAGGCAAGGTTTTTTTCTTAGTTCTCCTGCTTTGGCAATATTGTTTTTATGAAATTTGAATGCTTGTGTTTTATCTGAACAGTTGGGGGAGGGACCGTGGGCGATAACTCCTCAGAATAATGATTAAAATTTGCTAAACTATTAAAATGTATGAGCTCTCTCGGTGTTTGCAGTTGAACTTGGTATTAAAAGGTGGCTTCAAATTGCACAGTTTGTCACTGTTGCATAGGGCTTGAGAGTCCTCTGTGGTTTTGTGTATGTCGTGCCAAACTCTGCAGAAGTTCTGGATTTGAAAAGAAAAACTTTCTGTGTTAATGTCCTGGTGACCTTCACAGCACTGATGTAAAGGACACAGGCATGTCATGTCACTTGGTGGACAGAATTTCAAAGGCAAAGAAGCCGTAATGTAAGTCCCCTTTTTATTTCCACTCATCTTTTAGGTTCTAACTCTACTATTTGGTGTCATCAAGTCATATTGTGGGTACACGTACACACCACACACACACACACACACACACACACGGTTCTGTGCTGACCTTTGTTTTAAATAAGTCAACCAGTTACACTTTCCACTAGGAAATAGAGATGTGGAGTACGAACAGAGACATAGAAATGTGGCTCCAGGGAAAGTCAGCAAGTGTTAACATGGTAAATATTCAGTGAACACCATCAAGCATGACAAACATTTTACATACTCTTCATCCAGTCCTTCAGGACACCTTAATGTAGTTTTTTGAAGCCAGATTTGTTGATAAGTAAACTGAAGTGAAAGGCTAAGTGATAGGTATACATTAGCCCATGACCAGTGGATGTTTGTCAGCATTCAATCCATATTGTTCAGGCAAAAAAATTATTTTTATTTTATCCTACCTTAGCAGATTAGACCAAGTAGAAGCAACCAAGAATATTTTCAAAGCTATTGTGCTGAGTACAGATTGTGTATTAAGAATAGCGGGGTAACAGTGATAGTGTAAAACTTTTGTTGCATCTTGGCCACTTGGTTTTGAAACACTGGCTCATTTTCACTTTTATTTATTTTGATTTAATGCCTTTTCAGTCTTATTTAAATAAAATGTACAACATGAAGATTCTGCGCATTTGAGGGAGCAGTCATGTCTTCCAGACTTTAGGGACTTCAGTTAAGAAAGGCATGCGCAGGGGCTAGAGTACAGTACAGCGGGTAGGACGTTTGCCTTGTACGCGGCTGACCCGAGTTCGATTCCCAGGTTCCCATATGGTCATATGATCCCTCGAGCACCACCAGGAGTAATTTCTGAGTGCCTGAGCCAGGAATAACCTTTGTGCACCACTGGGTGTGACCCAAAAAAACAAACAAAAAAAAAACAGAAAGAAAGAAAGGAAGGAAGGAAGGAAGGAAGGAAGGAAGGAAGGAAGGAAGAAAGAAAGAAAGAAAGAAAGGAAAGAAAGAAAGAAAGAAAGAAAGAAAGAAAGAAAGAAAGAAAGAAAGAAAGAAAGAGAAAGCCTTGCACAAAGCCAGAGAGATAGTACAGTGAGAAAGGTGCTTGCCTTGCATGTGGCTGATCCTGGGCACCCCATATTGTCCCCCAGGACATACCAGGAGTGATCCTTGAGCACAGAGCCAGGAGTAAGTCCTGAGCATCGCAGAAAGAGAGAGAAGGAGGGAGGGAGGAAGAGATGGAAGGAGTGCAGCCTCCCCCCCACCCCCCGTTACCACTCTCCGGCCCCCGCGGAGGTGGCCTGAGGATTGATCCGATGGTGCAAGGAGGGACCAACCGAATGAACACGAGACACAAGAGACAGAGTACAGTTTAGAAACAGAGAGAAAAAGGGACAGACTTTATTGAGGGATACAGGCTGTTTATATAGGGTCCGGGCAGCTCAGTCAGGAGCAGAAGCAATATAACCATATATGGTAAGGTCAGCAACAAGAGCTTTACCTAACATTCAAGGTAGACATTTGTACATCAAAGGGTCTTGTGGCAGTAGGTGCATCCTGAGCTTTACATTTGTATATCAAAGGGTCTTAGGGAGTAGATGCATCCTGGAGCTTACTATAGATAAGGCCAGATAAGCTGTCAGCCTGATGTGTGGCTATAGATCAGGTATCCGCTGAGATCAGGAAGTCCTGGGAGACTGTCACCAATGTCTGTCCCAAGCAGTTCCTAACATGGGAACCATGGCCAGGGTCTATGAGAGGGCTCTTGGCTTCCCACAAAGGAGGAAGGAAGGAAGCCATTCACCTGTGGGCGGGGCCACACTAGATCACATTAGTGGGTGGGGGAGTGAATGAGGAGCATGTGGCTGGTCAGATGGGGAGGTGTTATGTCTCTTTTGCTCAGGCCGCTGGGGTTACTAGAATTAAAAACTATAGGGTATCTGTGGCAGCTACTTTTGGGGTCCTGTGGCAGCTACTTCCTAAGGACTGTCCCAAGTGATATCTCCGGGTCTGATGGCTAGGAATGAAAGCAGGAAGCAGTGGAGGGCAGAGTGGGCTATGTGCACACACTCAGATATATTAATACTTGGGTTTGGCCCAATGGCAGCCATAATGGTAGTGATAGGGACCATGACAACTATGGGCTTAATAGCAGCTGCAGAGGCCCTGGCAGCTGGCATGCTCTCTTATGGCTGCATACTTCCCCAACCCTCTGTGGGTGCATTCTGGGGTGGATGCTAGTGAAGGTACTTGGCAAGGGGCATGCAAGAGCTTGGCTGGAGAGCTAGGTCTGGGTACACTGCCAGTGATGCAGCCAGGGCCAGATTTGGGCCACAAGCAGTTGCAGGCAATTATGGCTATCCAAGTGCTAAAAAGTGAAGAAAACACCCTCCTCACCAACTTCCATGTGTGCACAGTGCAGTGGAGGCCCATGACAGTCATCAGGCCAGTGACATGCAGACGCATAGCTCGAAGGCTAGCCCAGTGCTTAAGCCTGGCAGTGGATGCTGGTGGAGGGGAGGTGTTGGCACTAAACTGATGTCCTACATTTGCACAAAGGGAGGCTCCCTGGCTCAAGTGGGGGGTGGGAGGCACTTTGGAGACCATATGCCACACTGGCTCAGAAGCAGAAACCTTGGCTCATCGCCATTGCAGTGCAGGGTGCCAAGGGAGGAGGATGAGGGACTCAGTTTCCTGACATCAGCAAATGAAAAACCTGTGGGGCGAACACAGGCCAATCTGCAAAGGGCAGCTGGGCTGGTCACTGGTTTCTCAGTGACAAAGTCTGCTGAGTTTGTGTGCAGGGCAGGTTTTGGGATCAGTCAATCTGTCAATCTGGATCAGTCAATACTGTCTGCTAGAAGAGCCTCTGCTTTTTCTTTTTCTTTTTCTTTTCTTTTTTTTTTTTTTGGTTCCTAGCTAGTGCAATATGTTTTGATTTTGTCCGAGGTCTGGGTGGGGTGAAACAGAAGCAGGACCTTGAGAAGTGGCCAAGAAGCTTAATAAGCTGCACTCCCCCTGATCTTTTTCCCTGAATTGAGGAGCTCCTTCTAGCTGGGAAGTTCCTTCTTGGTGCTGAACAGTGCCAGTCTGGGAGGTGGGATATGCAAGCAAAATAAATCTGTCTTCTTTCTCTTCCTGTGTTTTTAATTTTCTCTTCCTGGTGCTCTGGATTTTATTTCACAGTGTTAAAGAGACTTATTATTTTTTCCTTCTTGTTTTGGAGCCACACCTGTCATGCTCAGGGGTAACTCCTGGCTCTGCACTCAGGAATTACTTCCAGTGGTACTCAGGGGACCATATGGGATGCCAGGGATGGAACCTGGGTCAGCTGTGTGCAAAGCAAGCACCGTACCCACTGTACTCTCTCCAACCCCTACTGAAACGTCTGAAGTGGACACTGGATGTCTCCCAGAGCTGTTTTGGTTGATGGATAAGTGTCTAATCATTGGTCTTTGGGGAAGGGGACAAGAGAACTGCATTCTCCTCCCTCGCCATTTATTCTAAATAACCTAATTTTTCCTTTCAAATTAAGGTAAGCCAGAACCTATCAAGAAACGAAATTACTTTCCTTAGAGGAAAAAAAAAGAAAATTGTGGTGACTTGATTCTTTTAAAATTGTAGTCTTCATAATTCTTTATTATCTTCTTCTAGTTATTTGAAAATAGTTTCCGTGATTAGACATTTCAGTTATCAATAATTATTACCCGACCAACAAATTTCAATAAAATGGGATACTGTAAAGTACAAGAAGAAACTAGATGTTTGTATACGGCATTTTGTGAACAAAAACAAGTTCAAAGGATGATTTATACAGATTGCAGCCACTGTGAGTTTATTTTCTCAATCTTAGCTAATAACATGGCGGCTGCACTGTCTCACTTTTGGAAACAGCCAGAAGTATATTATGAAGCTTATGCCTTCAGAGAAGTCTGCTTCAATACAACAAACCCGATTTATACACAAATTAAACTTAAAGGATCTTCATAAATATTTTAATTATGATAGAATGTTTAATAATCACCAAGTAACAATAAAATCAATAACCCACCCAGTCACATAGAAAAGGCTTGATCACTTTTTCTAGACTCATATCATGTTGGGAGCAGGGAGCGGGGTAGGATTCAGAACATAAGGAATGAATCATCTTTGTCCTTTTTAAGAATTTTCAGAGCAAACTTTAGAGCTCCTTGCCTGACTGATAAGGGGGGCAAAAGTCATGCAATCTTCCCTTTATTATATTTTAAACTTTTGTTCACCTACCCAGTGATGCTCAGGGGCTACTCCCAGATCTGCACTCAGGAATTACTCCTGATGGTGTTCAGGGGACCATATGAGATGCCAAGGATCAAACCCAGGTTGACAGCGTACAAGGCAAGCGCCCTACCCACTGTACTATCCCTCCTACTACAGCTCTCATGCATGTTGTCTTCTGAGATGGTGAAAGCATCTGTTTTGGCTGAAATTCACCAGGGCACATGTTGACATGACGTTATTCTAGATCTAGGTCTTGAAGGTCAATGGAGCTATTCCATCATGCTGTTCTCCAATTGGGGGCTCATCAAAAGAGAAAAATAAAATTTCTCTCTTTAAAGAACAACTCTGTATCTTCTGGTTTCCAATTTCTTAGTGGTTTTTCAAAACATGTTTTTTCTTATGTGCCCATGAATTACAAGGTTATTCATGATTGGGTTTCAGGAATACAATGTTTCAACACCAATTCCCTCCAACAA